AGACCGGATATATAAAGACAAATCTGCTGCACTTTTCCCACTTTGGATAACCTTCCTTGGGTGAATCTGGCTGGACAGCTTGATGCCGTCTCCCCCTGATAGCCTTGAGGTCCCAGGTGTGACAAACCAAAGAGACCACGAGGGAATCGGTGGGGTACCTGCCGGTCAGCCTCCTTGGTCTTCAGACATCTCCTGCACCTCGCAAATTAGCCCTGCATGATCCACCCCCAGTGGGTCCCCTGATGAAGCCAATGGCGAAACGCGTCGGGGCCTACTAAGCCAAGCCACGCTGGGGCCTGCCAAGCCAAGCCACGCTAAGGATAATAGTTTTATTTTCAAATCTACCTTTCTATTATGAATTGATACCATGCTATGTATATTAATTTGAATACTCAGAGCCCTAAGATTGAAATACTGTGTATATATATCCCATGCAGGGAGATATTGGCCATATGAATTGTTTTAATACTATTTAAATAAATTTTGATATTATTAGTACATCATTCTTGGCCGGTCATTTACACTCCTCCACAAACCCTTATACCCTTTACTCTTGTTTAAATATACCGAACCTAGGGGGAGAGGTGTAAGCTAGTTATCCACAGGAAGGCAACCCATGATTTAGTAAATTTTCACTTTCCAATAGACGGCTTTTAGTTAAATACTTGTTGACCTTCTTATTTGTATACTGGCATATTATGTATCTTCCTGTATACGTAATTATGATTCCATGACGATTGCCAGAGTATTATTTATTGCATCAACAGCGGGGCCACTTACGTCTTTGGCAACAACCTTTGGCAATGAACTATTATACTTCACAGAAGAATGTTGTTGTTTGTTTACCAAAACTATGCGCCGACGGGGTGTGTCCAGGACATACCGACTGTTACTAATTCTGTTAGCGGGTACATATCAGCAAAGGAGTGACATTTTTCTTTAAAGTGACTCCATCACCCAAAAAGAATTAATAATATTCATCAGTCCTCTGGCCAGTAACTCCAGTTCTCTGGCCAGTAACTCCAGTCCTCTGGCCAGTAACTCCAGTCCTCTGGCCAGTGACTCCAATCCTCTGGCCAGTGACTCCAATCCTCTGGCCAGTTACTCCAATCCTCTGGCCAGTGACTCCTGTCCTCAAGCCAGTAATTTCCAGTCCTCTGGCCAGTAACTCCAGTCTTCTTGCCAGTCACTTCAGTCCTTTTGCCTGTGAGTCCAGTCCTCTGGCCAGTCGCTTTAGTCTGCTGGCCAGTAACTATAGTCTTCTGGCCAGTAACTCCAGTCCTCTGGCCAGTAACTATAGTCTTTTGGCCAATAATCCACAATAATCCATACCTTTGGCCAATATCTCCAACCTTCTGGCCAGTTGCTCCAATCCTCTTGCCAGTCGCTGCGGTCCTCTTGTCAGTGACTCTAGTCCTCTGACCATTAACTCTAGTCCTCTTGCCAGTCGCTCCAGTCCTCTGGCCAGTGATTCCAGTCTTCATTATTGTAGGGCTACACCAGCCAAAACATATTTAGGATCCAACCCATTGCATGTCTGAGTTTCCCCGTTGTGCACTGTGGTTTAATTTGCTAGCCGCCATGTAACTGCTGTGTCTTTTTGGAGCTGTAAAGAGGAGGAAATCGCTTCTGGCACACCTGGAAGTATGTTTGATACTACACTTCTGTAGTCTGTGCAGCTCTGGTCAATGATCGGAGTTGCCGCAGGCCACACTGATAGGCATACTAACTCTTCTTCTATAAAAGGAACCTAATTGCTGATACTCACCTTTCATTGGCAAGTGAAATATGTGGTACTTCAGGTGATATTTCCCCATTTCACCCCACAATGCAGAGTAGAGTGCCAGAGCAACCAACCACTAGACACCAGGGCTGGCCTCTGCGGTCAGGTCTTAGCATTGGACATACTCTGACCATATCAATGTGGTGCACAGGGTCTTTCCTTATTGTCCCAGCAATTAGAGTGGCAAAGGACAAAAGGAAGGTAAACCATGAGTGGGGGGAAAGGTAGAGGGAAATATATCATCCTGTGGCTTTGCCCTGCAAAAATAAAACAGTTCTGGCTCGAGGTTAGCTTTAAAAGCTTGCGTTTCATTAGCTGCTAAAGTCACTAGTCTTAGATTGTAAATTCCTTATAAAGATGATGTTTTTAAATGATCAGTTAATCTATTCAAGATCCTGTTATAGCAGGAAGCATTGGACCCTGTCTATAAGGAAGAAGGAACATTTCAGAAGGAGCAGGTTAAGCCTGGGGTGGCCACCAAGACAATTTATTCTGCAAACAAAGAGTGCTTGCCATCTGCTACTGTAGAAGGTTTGCATACTTTGGGTTGTTTGTTTTGTAATCCACAAAATCATTTTTTATGATGTGTTAATACCTGAATCTAAGGATCTGTGTGCATTGTATTCTGACTCCGATCGTTGTGATAGCAAAATATATCCCTTGCTGAGACCTCTATGCTTGGCCTGTATAAGCAGATATACTCACTGCGGACAATCCTAGTCAGATAGCTGAACTCGTCAATACCGATTCATTCAAAAGAGGTGTTTATTCTTTACATCAGGTTACAGCAGATGATAGGAACAGCATTTGAACGGTTATAGTATTGTGCGGTCAGAAAATGATGCCTTTCCTACGTACTGTGCAGATTACATGTGTGTCCTGTTACATGTGGCTTTCAACTGTGCCCATGACACAGGAAGTACTGCACACAGGAAGCAGGAAGGGGCTACACTAGGGGGAAATACATCGTCACATGAGGAATAATTACAGAAAACATGTTTGTTACAACAAAAGGCCACTAGATGGCAGCATAGGATAACACATGGATTTAGCTATGAGAATATAGTTAGGCAAATCACACTATATAAATTCTAACCTATATAACAATGCTAATCTTAACTGAGGCTATGCATCTCATATTCTATGCCCCTGTTGGGGCGGCACACATTGGCTTAGACACTATGCCATGCAACCTCCTGCTGTGTTGCGTTTATGTGCGGCTGTTAACAGGCACTAACCTATGTTTAAATGGCCTGCCCCCGCAGGACATAGCAGTTTACAATGTACCTGCAGAATATTTTTCTCACTACAACACTCATTGCAGTGCATTAGACAGGTACCTTGGGGTGTGATGTCCAGATGATGTGAAGCTGACACTGCAGCAAGTGCATGTAGAGAGAAGAAGCTGCAGAAAATCAGCAGCACTGAGATGGGAGATAAGGCTGAAAAAAGTGAAAACAGAATGTTCACTGTTGCTGATGCATAGTGTACAGAGCAAACTAAATGTCATCTGGTTAGGGTTACATCTACTTTAGCAGAATAATGACCTCTATCCAATATTGTTTTTTACAGTTGCACTCATTTTACCCCTGTGATCTATTTCTCTCCAGGACTGTACAAAATATGTCCGTGACACCTGTGACCAAGGAGAGGATTGCAAGCGTCTCCACATGTGCAGATACTTTACTCGAGGATCCTGCTACAGCCAAATCTGTGAAAAATCGCACAATCTGCTGGATTCCAAAATAATGCTCAAATGCCGCTGGATGAGCCAAAAGACCATTGAGAACTTCCAGATGCTCTGCGATCTGAAACACAATGAGAGGCACCGGATACCTCGAGGGGTGGCTAATAATAAGGAGGCCAGGGAGGCTCGACTCAAGACAAGAGACATAGGGGGAAGAAGGCCAAGAAAAAGAGATGATTCTCAGGACTCAGTCGGCAGGAGCAGGGAAAGAAAAAAGGAAGGTACTCATATTCCTCTAACTATCATATAAGTTATATGAAACACCTGGGAACCTCCCAGTTTAAACATAGAAAATGCAAGAAATAAAATGCACATTCTGTGTTTAGTTTAAATCGGATGTCAACATGACAAGTAGATTCACATCCATATTCAGTTGAATTTATATGCAAATGAAGAATTTTCCTCTACCTCTTTAGTCATCTTAATAATTAGCATTCGTGGGCGTGTACTGAGAAGCAAATAGAAAGAGTCAGGTTTTACACCCCAATTATGTAAATTGAAAAGAAATTTAATAAATCCACTTTCAGGTGTGCAAATCAATCAGTAGCAGGCCCTGTCACTTCCAGCATCTCAGATGTTCCCATTGTGCTCCCAGAGGGGGCTGAGTCCATACCTCCCCCAGACTGTAAAGCCTCCTGGGAGCTGTAGTTTGATCTGCTTGAATAAACATTGTCCCTCCCTGTCTCCACACTATTAATCCCACAAGTCCCTCTGCCACAAAAGACCTGACAGGGATAATTAACCTTGGGGGCTACACTTACTTTTTCCAGATAGCCTTAGAATGGTCAAGTGATATGCAAGGTCTTCTGTCTCTTCCCTGGGTAGTGAACAGTGCTCAATAATGCAGAGAGCAGCAGTGACTTCACAACATCAGCGCTTCTCTCTGCATTTTACATGGTGAGTGCATAAAGCTGTTGTGATATCCACCTTAGGGGGTGGCTCTATTATACCCTGCACTCACAGTATGTCTTCAGTCTTCCAGTCATCCAGCATCATTCCACCCTGGAAGAGTGAGGGTATCTAGTGATGCAAAGTAATTACTGCCGGGGGAAGATTTCTTCTCTTTAAACAATCAGTGTTTCAAGTAGCAAAATCACCCATTTTTTCTTCTCTTGTGCTTTAATTTTAGTGTCGACAGAGAAAACACCAGAAATTTGCCTCACTTATATTTGGAAGTTTTGCAAGCTGGGAGGTAAATGAGAATAAATACAATTAAGCGACGTATGGCTCAATTCACTAAGCTTCTACTAAATCATAACAATTGTTATTATTCACAGTGACAGTTGAAATAGCAGTCACATAGCTGCATATAACTATTGTTATGACTAAGAAAACATCATGTATAGCACGATGAATTGAGTCTAAAAATATGAGATTTGGAATATTATTGTGCCAGAGATAATAGTCAGTGTTTTTCTTGGCTGACAGATACGTGCCCCAATATGCACTACTACTTACCATACCGCTGGCAAGAGTTTAATGGATGACTTCCTGATTGGCCAGCTTCCCGACCAATCAGTAAGCTGGGCAGCGAGTCATTACATGCCGCCCAGATTTCTGATTGGCCGGCTCCATGCTCCCTTGTCGCCAAGTGATTTGCCAGGGAGCATGGAGTTGGCTTTCCGGCCAATCAGGAAGCCGAGCAGCGTGTAATGACTCGCTGCCCGGCTATCTGATACTGGACGTTCCGGTATCTGGGTAGGCATCGGAAACATTTGGGGGAGTGTGATTACTCGTCCAAATACTCTGTATCAGCACCGATACAAATATTGTTTTCGGTGCACCCTCGTTTACACAATGCTTGTTTTATTAGGTAAAAAAAAAACTACTAAGGGTAAATTTCACCATTGTGGGAGGAGCAGAGACTCAAACTACTGGGAGGAAATCTCACAATTGTGGGAGGGGCAGAGACACAAACTACTGGCGGGAAATCTCACCATTGTGGGAGGAGCAGAGACACAAACTACTGCAGGGAAATCTCACCATTGTGGGAGGGGCAGAGAAACAAACTACTGGGGTGAAATCTCACCATTGTGGGAGGGGCAGAGACACAAACTACTGAAGGGAAATCTCACCTACTGAAGGGTTTTTATGGTTTGTGCCTCCATCTTTTTATCACAGCTACATATCAGTTGATTTCCAGACCATGAAAGCTGGTGATAAGCAGGTCCGCAGACTCTCCACCCCGTCATCGGTCAGCCAACCGGCGGAATATGTTCTGACCACTAAGTGGATTTGGTACTGGAAGGATGAGTTTGGCACCTGGACCAAGTATGGGTATCCTGTAAGTGAAATTATTATTACTTTATTATCATTTTATTTAAGTGATTCTTTCTGCTGTGTTTAGGTGGCAGAAATCAGAAGATTCAATTAGAGATAGAGAACATAAAAGCAAACAGCGTCTTTTGTGCTCTGGTGATTTGTGTCTAGTGGTTCTGCCACTGGGGATGAGCTTCGGGTTTGGGTAGATCATTTATAGGACCTGAACACAAGTAGTTAACAAATGAGAACATTAATGTGGTCGTTCGCACCTACGTCAACCATTTACCAATTATGCATTACCTGCCCTCTTGACTGTGGTCAGGTGGCTTAGAAGTGGCAATTATAGTCTAAAGCTGGTCATACACGTATACATTATCTGCAGATTTTCTATGGTCAGATGGAAAAAGTGCAACAGATTCCTCCATCTACGCTTAACTGTGAGGATGGAGGAATCTCCTGCTGGGCCAGGCTTCAGTATCTTGCTAGTTGGCCCCGCTGGCTCCCGCTGGCTGTCAAAATACCTGAACAATCTGATTGGACGCAGGCATTATTCAGGTATTTTGAGAGCCAGCGGGGCTGACTACCAACATCCTGAAGCTTGGCCCAGCGGGAGATTCCTCCATCCACACAGTTTAGCGTAGATGGAGGAATCTGTTGCACTTTTTCCATCTGACCATAGAAAATCTGCAGATTCTCAGCCATAAATAGCCCGTTTGGTGTCATTGTTTGAAACGGGCACACATCTGCGTGCCCGTCTAGAACTTTGGCTGCACAGGCTGGTCCTGGCTTCTTGGTAGCAGTGCAGAGGTTCTTCTTTGATGCATTTTTTTGCACACATGTTGTAATCGACATTTTAGGTCTGAAAATTACTTATAACCCCAAAAGGATTATATATTCTGTAGAATAAAATGTTCGCAGATGCAAAATTTTATGTTGCATGATATTAAAGCAACTCTTTATCAAACCCATAATTTTAGTATATCTTAGTGCCCAATAACACAATATAATACCCATTTTTTGTAAAATATAAAAGATGAGGTTACAACAAGTAAATAGATACCAAGCATGCCCAGGTAAAAAATTGCATGTGTCCATGAAATGCCGACAAGATACGTTACTCCAAATTGTCTATAGGCGATGCTTTAAAAATCCGTACAGTTCATCAGTTTACAGTTACCCATGAATACTAACTCTGGCACACACGGAGATACCTAACACGTGTAGCACGATCATTGTTTTCATATGTAGGCGCAAACGAAACACCTTGACGTTAATGTGCACGCTCACGGAGGTTTTTTTTTATTGGCTTATCTCAATTGCTAAAACGTAATGGGACTTACAAGCACCCTATGTGATAGCTCATTGAGGGTGAAAGGTTCTCTTTGAGGTGACATTATGGGCCAATTAGACTCTTAGTGTCACCTTTCCACTCCAAAGAAGCTATGGGAATGCATATCACGCTCCAATAGCTTCTTCCCTGGCTTCTGCAGCTGGGGAATGACAGCTGAGGAACCAGAAGTGATTCAATTAGTGTTGCTTCCGCTACTATTCAGCAGGGAGGAGATCCGTTTGCCGGTCTCCATCTCAACTTCTTGACGACACCTTTGCCTAGTGAAAGTGAAATGTCTATATTTACATTGAGTCACAGACACAATTTGTGTTGAACAGCCTTGTAGGATATTAGGGAAAGATTACAGAGTGTTTGCAGGAAGATATACCTTTTAGTTTGTGTAAGCAACAACTTCGGTTGCGGTTGGCTGCTTGAATCCCTATCTGCAAATGTTTGTGGTACCTTTCTTTCATGGGGGTTGGGGTTTAAGTATTTGGTAAATACACTGTAAAATATACACTGAGTGGCCAGATTATTATGACCACCTGATGTTTGTAGGCAAATTAGCTATAATTAGCTATAATTCCGCGCTGAAGGTGCTAGAGGGCCAGGCCATTATAAATAGGGAAGCAGGTTGTTTACCACGACAGTAGAAGTGATTTTTTTCTGAAGATAACAGCCTTTGAACGTGAGATGATTGTTGGCGCGAGCCATGGAGCGAGTATCAGCAAAACAGCAGAATTTGTTAAATGTTCAGAGCAGCTGTTGTTAAAGTGTTTAAAGACTGGACTGTCAGCCGAAAATCTGGGTCTGAACGTGCGAATTGTGGCCGTCAGCGACTAGTCAATGTTAGCGCAGAACGGAGAATGGCAAGACTGGTACAAGACAACAGAAGGGCAACAGTGCAGTGTCAGATTCCTCGCATCATCTTTCAACATCTCGCAGAGTCACGAGGCGGCCCAACAAAGTCATCTCGTGGAGTCATCTCGTGGCCCAACGAAGTACTGATGGGGTGGTCATAATAATCTGGCCACTCAGTGTATACACAATATAAATAAACACATATAAATAAATATATAAATAAATACACTTGGATGTTTTGTTTTTTTATCAAAACTGGCTGGTGTCAACAAGTGGTCCAGTCAAAACTGTGCACGTACTCATTACAATATTTTGGGGCATTTTTTTAGTAAAATAAGTACACTCTAATGTTGATTTTAGAAATGGCCGGTGTGGGTCCTGTTAAAAAGCAGCCTAATTAAAGTTTTTTAAAGGCTGTGAACAGACTCACTACATTATTTTACATTATTATATGGGCTTAAAAAAAACCCCTCACATTAATGTAAATTTCCTGATTTAAAATGGCTGGTCTGGTTACTTTAGAAAAAGCAACCTAGTCAAAGTGTTTAAATACTGTGCACTTATTCACTGCAATATATTTGGAGGCTTTTTGCCTAAATAAATACACTCTCATGTGCATTTTTTCATTTAACAATTCAAAGAGTTTAAATATTGTGCAGATACTCACTACAATTTTTGGGGGGATTTATATACATATATATACATATATATATATATAAGAAAAAATTCTAATGTTGAATTTTTAAATGGCTGGTGTTAGTCCTGTTTAAAATGCAGCCTAGTACAAGTGCTTAAATACTATGCGCACACTCACTACAATATTTGAATGGCCTTTTTTTCAGCAAAATAAATATCTTTTAATGTTGTTTTAGATGGAAAGCTGGCTAGTGTCTGTACTATTCAAAATGGGAACTAGTAAAAGTGTTTAAATATTGTGCACATAGTCACTACAATATTTGAATAGATTTTTCCATTAAAATAAGTACACGTTTTTACACTCACATTTTTTAAAACTGACTGGTATGTGTCCAGTTCAAAATATGGTTTACTAAAAGTGCCTGTATACTGTTTATGGAGTCAGTACAATATCTTTGTATTTTAGGGCCCTAAGCTAGTTCTAACATTGCTTTTTTTAACAGTAGAGACATTTCTGCCTCTTCTCTCACCTGCAAGGTGTACGTAAGTGACCATGTGCTGACAGGGACACCTTGAAGTGGAACTGTTTTGGTGAAGGCAGTTGAAGCTCTTGCCAACTGTGCAAGTATGCACTGGTGCCGCTACTGGTACCAGCTTCCTCATCACGTCCTCTGGACCGATATCCTATCTCTTCAGCCATTAGGCAGCCACTGATAATGTGACTGCACATTAGAGTTACATTAAAAGAACATTGTAGAGAGTGTACATTGTCGTACATGCACCATAGGCAGTGCACACCAAACAAAACATTGATAGTATATAGGTAAAGCAGTTGAAAGTCGTACAAAGTCGCTTTAACAAAAAAAAGACAACTTTAGTTTCATATTAATAGCTACAACCAACCAACTAATATAACAGCTTTGTGTCAATACTGGTTTAATCTTTAGAGCAATCTATAATACATTCCAAAGATACATATCCTACATTAAGGCTGTCTGAATTTATAAACATGTGCTTCACAATACAATTCAATGACTGTCACCTTTCTCATTTCTCTTCTAGAACACAAAGAACGTGAGAGCCTCCATTTGTTCATCAGACTTGGAAACCATTTACTTCTATAACCCCGGTGGCACCATCCCGTTCACTGCTGAAAAACAGAACTACATCGTCAACTGCCAAGGTGACCACCAACTTACTCATAAGAGACAAGCAAAATGCACCTGTGTATCAAGCAGCAGAAAATCATTTATAGCACATACTAGACATGTGCGAATCGTTTCGTTCCGAAACGAAATTCGGACGAAATTTCGGAAATTTGGAGATGCATTAGAATTCCGAATTACAGCTAAAACGAATGCAAACGAATCCGAATTCCCGAAATTTGTTAGCGGTAGTCCGGTTGAAATTTCGTTTATTGGACGAAAGTTCGTTGCAGCAAAATGAGCCTGCAGACTGTAAAAAAAAAATAAAAAAAAATTCTAATGTAATTTTGCTGCAACGAAAATCCGTCCAAAAACGACCGGACTACCGCTAACGAATTTCGTCCGAATCCGAATTCCGAAACGAATTTCATTTCATTATAGATAGCTTTTTTGTGTGTTTTCTGACAGTTTTCTCTAAAAAAACAATATATACACCAGACTTGGATACTGGTATCGGTTCATCCCTAGTTTCCACGGTCTCCGTATTTACGACAGCAGCCCTAGGCTCTCGAATTTCATCTCTTCTTCTCTCTACCTCATCCTAGTCAAAGTTAAAGGACACTTGCGAATGGGACGGATTGCATTGTTCTGTGAGACTTAGACATGCACATGTAATTGCACATGCTGCAATTACCTGTGGATGATCACCACAGAATGCAGACTGCTTGTATTCAGGGGCAATTGCACGCAGGTAATTGCAGCATGGGTGATTACATGCAAACAGCTGTGAACAGCTGCGGGCACTGTCAGCTGTCATTGTATTGTACAGCACGTCCCTCTGCAGATATTTCCATGAGTCTCAGTTCTTAAGACTTATGCAATCTGCCCAATTTTTAAGTGTGAATGGGACCTTAGACCAATGTATGGGACCAATGTATATGCCTTTTCCTTCAGAGCAGCACACACTGCTCTGTAGTTGCTTTACCATGTGTAGCTTTGTGCTATATATATATATTTATATACATATATATCTAGACAAAATAAAAAATTATATTCAGCACGCATGCCATGTTTTATGCCTTTTTTCTGGCATTCCACCTGTGGTTGTTCCCCTCAAGACTTGTATCAGTGCCTATGCAACCTGTATTTCCCTTATTACAGCTCTTGGTGGTAGCGTTGTATCATGAATTGCCATCAGTAGTCGATGGTAAATAAGCCTTGACCAGCCTAGGCGTGCTTGTTTACACAAAGTTTCCCCATAACAGTATGCCATTGTAAGTAACCTGGATACGAAAAATGGGGAAACAATACAGGGAAGCCATACCATTATCAAAAACCAGTTTGGTCTGTTTAGAAGGCACATTGTGAGAAACCAGCTCTGTGTCAACAACCAAGCAGACCACGTGTCTCCTTTGCAAATTTCCTGTGCGTGTCTGAAAAAACCATTAGCATATTCATATCTATATATACTGTAATATACAGTATACTGTGTATACAGGCCCAGATTCCCCACAAGGCCACCGAGGCCCAGCCTCGGGACGGCAGGGAGCGGAGGGTCGGCAGCAATGTTGAATCCCCCGACACCTGGAACATACAGTTCCGGGCGGTAAGTTATTTTCTACATTTAGCCCTGCTTTGGACTAAAATAAAAAGGTGATTAAAAAAGTAAAAAATAATAAGAAAAAAAAGAGAAAATAATAAGAAAAATAATTATAAAAAAATAAACAATAATAAGATAAAAATGTATAAAAAATA